TACGGACCTCGGCAATCTCGACACTGACCATATCGTGTTACAATAATATATAGCCTGGCCCAATCCAATGTTTATCTATGGTACCTATACCTACGTGAAACTGCGTTACATGCACGAGAACAGCGTAATTATTGACGTTCACAGAAATATAGACAACAAATAGATAGTTATGAAAATATTATGTTATTGTATAAAACAGGAAGAGGCGAATTTTAATGTGCGTACCGATTTTTTTGATTCGTACGTCCCGGTTGAACGACACTCTTGGCCTTTGCGACGAGTCGGACTTTTGCGAGTCCGATCTGTACACGTCCAGCATGTTTATGGAGTTTAGCTCGGGATCTGTGAACAAAACGAGTGCATAAACATATTGTAGTTATGTGTATAGAGATATGTGTTAAAGTAATTAAAATATTAAATTCGCTGTCATGCGCGTTGGTGTGTGTGTGTGTGTGTGTGCACTGTGTGTGTTGCGTGTGGTCGTCGGACGCACACGCGCACGCGACGAATAAACATAATGTAAATAACATGAAATACATTATTTTTGTAATAACGACGGCAACAACAACAACAACAACAACAACCATAACAATAACAACAATGCAATTTGGAAAAATAAAAAAAAAATAATAAAAAACTAATAGCCTGCGGATCCAAACTTGTGCGTGTAAAAAAAAAGCTTTTAAAATGAAACGAAATAACAATGATAACTTAGTATAATAATAATATTGTCTTTTATATCCGAGAGGAATATTAACGCCGTTCGAGTCTCCATATAACAGCGGGGCATCTACCATAACATTACAGAGGAGAACGCATCAATCAGTCGACAAAGTATTGACTACGCGAGTTAATAAACCGTATAAGTATACATTGGTTAATATTCTCCAATATCGATCTGTCTAATAATAACGACACTATTAGTCGTTTTACACCGCGTAAACTTCAAACTTTTTGAGAGTTAAACGATATTTACAAGCGCGTTGTAAGCTCAACTCTGCGAATACAATTCGAGAAAACTTTTCGCCCGCCGCCTTTGCACAATAACAACACAATATACGAACGACAGCGTTACCTACATCGAGTCGGCTATTTCGTCGTCTCTATTTATTTTTCAAATATTTTATTTTTATTTTTTATTTTTTATTTTTGATCGATCCGCTCGCCCAACTCTGCGGCGACTGCAGCGGCGGCGGCGTTGAGGTAGGAGTGCGCGCGCGATCGTTGCGTCACTGGCCATGTAGGGTAACCCGGGTATCGGAGCCCGAGGACCGCGTGGCCCACACGAAACTACGGCGCCCACACTGCCCAATATTATATGCGGCACGTATGCGTGTGCGCCGCCGCGTGCCTATGCATTATATTACGATTGTAACGCGTCTTCTCGGCTGACGGACACGGCGGCTTTTCGCATATCAATAAATTTCACATTCAGCGGTCAGGTATACCTACATAATGTGGGTCTTTGAAAATATTATGTTCTCGCGATATCTTAAGTCGTTATAAAAAACAACGTTTTCGAACGTTTCTGAAGACGTTTATACCTTATTTTTCGAGTCAGTTTTACTATTATTTATTCCCACGACAACTTTAATAATTATTTCTTATCTATTCAAAAGCAGAGTATTTTCCGGAGAGCTGTACTTTGCATAAAAATCGAATTTTGAACGAGTAGTTAAAGTAAAAAAAATAACAGCGATACCGTTATGATTAGAGTGTAAAAAATATTTATTTTTTTTTTTTCTATTGTTTTATAACGATTTAATATTACCAGGTAAAAAAATGAATATTTTAAGTAACGTTAACAGTTTTTGAAATAACGAGTGTTTAACGTCCGTTAAATTACCTGGTGTGATGTGTGAATTTATTTATACCTACTATATTTATTAATATTATATTTTCAAGGAGGGAATAGTAAAAGTATCTTGTTTTTATTGCAGTAACAATAAGATGTTCGATAGTGAACACATTTTTGCCGGAGGCGAATGAATAAAATATGGTTGCATAAAAGATTGCGAACATATTTTTCCGCCGTATTTTTATTCGTAGAAAATCAGTCCACCCTATTATAATATTTTGATGTCGTATGCGTATAATAAACGCTATACGTCATGTTAATATTATAATTTGTAACATTATATACAAGCAAAGGAACAAACGCTAAACGCGTTTCTAAAACGGAATCGCGCATATTATTTCGTATTTATAGTAGATATTATCGACCGAAGTCGTTAGTAGACGTTATAAACAGCATTATACACGTTTACCACACATTATAATATTATTATTAATAATATACTATATTGTGTAGCGTGTAAAGTTTCGTGTTCGTTATTAATTATTATTTATTAGTAACATCTTGCCGTTAATAACTCCGTGACTGTGGTAATAGTAAATAATAAATATACGCTTTTATCACTTGATCATATATTTTATTGTTATCAATATCAACTTAACTAAATAAATGAATAATTAAAAACTATACAAGAAAAAATGTCGAAAACATGATTTGTTGTCTTTTTGATTGATGAACAATTTATATTTTATGCGTTCAACGCGTAATATTGTTCCCTTTTATGTCCCCGCGTACAGAAGTGACATCCCCATACACTTCCTCGTTAGCCTGTATCTGAGCGTACGTATAGACACGATTTAATTCATAATTAATATTTTGACAGTGTTAATTATTTCAATTATACACTGCACAGGACATCGTTCGATTGTTATAAGTGTATATATAATATTGACATATCGTATGTATGATATAGCGCACGCGTAGGTCTTTCAATAATACAATAACACTGTACTCATTGATATCCTTTACAGGTGTGTGTGTGTCAAGTTTATATATTATTTATAAGTATATCATAGGTATATGTGTATACGGCAGCGTTTCCGGCGAATATGACAAACAGCTGCTACAAAACGAATTTTGGCCGTCAAGGTCACAGGCGATAACACGCGAAAACAAGAATCTATTAAATTCGCCCACTCGGACCAAAGCTCTAGCGTGTTATATAGCACTACGGTTTGCGAGTGATGTGTGATTACCTATAGTAACTAAATAGTATTACAATACGTTTATAAACCTATATACAAGTTATTAGTACCTATACCTTGTTATTAGTAATTGTATAACTAAGTAGATATAAGAGAAATATGCATATTGTATATAGGTATATACGGGCATCACTCGTCGTAGTTCTATATATGAACATATATTACAAAGGTAATTCTGGAAGGGGCGAGTAGGATACCTTGCTCCGATAACCGTTTGTGCAAGGAGGTACCTCGGCGTTTATTTAAGAAACATGATAAAAGCCAATAATTAGTTTTAAAATCATTTTTTCGAGTGAAATAATGAAAAAAGGTAATAACACTGTTATAATTTACAATAGGTATATCCATTAGAACATATTAGATTACGTCGTGTCCTATCACTCCTCAGTAACTATAGCTAATCCATCAAAAGACAAAACGAATTGTACCTACTTCGTAACATCGAATAACATGACCCGAATAAAAATCAGTAGACTTCCCTATACAACTGATTGATCTGATGAATTTATATTATATGAAGTAATATTATTTTCATTATTTTACTTGTAATTTGTTCGAAAACTCAATGATTTTTAAAAAATTGAATTCTCAGACTATATAATTGAATGACAAATCTATAACTGTGATAATATAATTAACGATTTCACTGTGAAAATTAATATTTCGAGTTACAAAACTTTTTTTTAATCAACAAAGTTTATAGTATTAAATAAATATTTGAAAGTAGGACAAATTATATTTATACTTCTGATCCCGCATAGCCTCACCCGTGATAAAAAAAAAAAAAAAAAAAAAAAAAAATAATGCCTGTGGATTAATCCGTCCTAAATTTTGTTAAAAATAAATTACACGGATTTTTAACACATTAATTTTAGTGGTTTAGACCAATTATAAAAAATACGGGTCTAATATTACATCCAATCATAATAACTATTTAATTTTTATAACCAATAACAACCCTATAATAAAAACAAAAAAGTAATTGAACAATCCCTGTGCGAGTCTTTCATTAAAAAAAAAAAATCCTTTTTAATACGCCCTTACACAGTAGCACGAAAGCAAGTACTATGAAAATGTCAAGTTTCTAGCTTTCACGATTTGAATGTAATGTGTTTACGAATCTGCAGTCATTTAGGACTTCTTCTTTTATATGTGTACATATAATTATATTTTTAAGGCGTTACCTATTATAACAATATCGTACCATTATTCATATTAAACACATATAGATGGTTTTTTTTTTTTTAAATATTTTTTTGTGGGAGCAATTAAAGTTCTATCAATCGTGGATGTCAAGTGTCTTAAATACGAACATTTTGCACTGCGCGGTATTCCCTACGATCATAGTTTATCGTGTGGGCACACGCAGAACGTCGACCTGCAACAGGATTCCCTTTCAGTTTGGAGTTTCTCACTCTCTAGACAACAGTTACTCGTTCGAATTTTGGGGGCAAGAAATCATCTATTCTCCGGTCGACAGACGTCGATTATATTACACGCGTATACTGTTGTTGTTACCTACTATAGTACCTATTATATTATCGTTGTCGGACCATACAATGGCTGAATGGGTGCATCCCGGTGACTGGTGCACCGCGAATGCCGCCGTGATTGATTGCCAAAAGATATGCGTACGTATAATATACAAGTGTGAGTTCCACCCGCGCAACGTGTGTGTGTGTGTGTGTGTGTGTGTGCGTGTGCGCGACATTTGCGGGGGGCGGATCGTAGGAACGATTTTCGGCACACGATGCGTTTTAAACGACCGGACGCGTCTAATCGCTTATTATTCGCCAATCATAATACTCTTCTATATGGGCACGAAGCAAACGATGGGTGCTGAGTAATGTCGTAGTTACATTACTGCGGACACACATAATATTATACACGCAGGTGCGTGCGTGCCTGATATTCCGTCGTCGGATCGTGAACTCGGCGCTCACGAGTTTTTAGTGGACCCGAGGAGAAAACATAATATTGTGACATCACACTGCGGCGGTCAGTGACACCTCGCAGCCCTCGAGCCTTCAGTAAGTAATGACCGAAAAATGACAGATCGCACTTTATTAAAATATTATATTGTAAAAGTGTACGCTTCAGGGTACCTACTTCAAACGTTTAATTCACTCAGCACGGGTTGCATGAAAAATTAATTAATTTAATGGTTCAATAAAATTTAACGAGCCAACCGTGTTTAAGGGACTGTTGAACTCTCTATCGATTCGTTAAATTAGTAATTAGTGATTGTTCGTGCGATCCGGCATCAGTAAAATAATGTATGCATAAAAAAAAGGCCATAAGTTTTCGTCATTATTTAGAATATTATTGAGCTAATTTCGTAGAATAATTATTTTTTGTTTAATATTTAGTATTTAAAATAAATAGTTTATTTATAAATTAATGATTTTGCTTAAATTAAAAACAAAAAATACATTATGTTTTGTTAAGTTGGAAAATATAAGGTATGCTTTAACAATTGCAAAATGGAATCTACGTAAATTAATTATGTTATTGCGTATCTTAGATTCGTTATTTTTTTAAACCTCCAATGTTGAATGTAATATTTCTATTGTTTTATAGTTTTATAAGTTCTAACTTATAACTATTCATAGCCAATCACTCTATCATATTAATATTATTACCCTGTTACTATGAGTGACGTACTATATTAATAATTAATTATACTAAACAATAGGTTACTAAATTTAAAATGCTTAATATTTAATAAAAACATCATATAAGTATATAGTAAGATCACTAAAATATAGTATAATTCTGAATTCAACGTCAAAAATAAAATAGTTGCTATAAATTGTTATTTATTAAGCAAACGTGAATTAATTATCTTATATTTTACTAATATAGGTAGGTTAGTTTATTCCTACACGTATTTTATATAGTTGTAGTTATCAATCAAATATCAAAATATTATACATAATGCAACGCATTATTTTTCCAGTAGATTTTTCGATATTATAAATAGGTATGTCAATATGTGATTAGTTTTAAGCTTTGTATTTTTTAACACAATAAGGTATCAACTATATATTTCAAACTATTGATTAAATAACTATTTTATTCATAGAGTTATGAATATTAAAATATCGTTGTATACTAGTTGAATTTCAATTTAAAAATCTACATGACGCCACGGTGGTTAAACATAAAATCGATTAAGAGGTTTTTATGAAATAATTAAATGAAATTGCAAATTATTCAATTTAACTGTAAAATAGAAGTTGTTTTTATAAATCTATTAGCGACTTCAGAGTGAATAAAAAATAATCACTTTTAATTAAACAAAAAGTATGTTATTTGTTCGTTTATAAATAAACATTTATACTTGTAATTATACTGTTATAATATTATACATTATTTATGGTGTACACTGAAAACAATAAACATATATTATTATTATGTCATTTTAAATCCAATTTACAGTATGCGAATAGATTTTGAGGATAAAACACTTGTGCGCAAAAGTATGTTGTTTGAACACAGACGGCAATATTATAGTTAACGAAACACTAACAGATGGGCTAAATAAATATAATCCATAAAACCAACTACCTAATATATCATTTTCGCTCTGTTGTTTAGTGAACATTAATCGAACAGTAGAGAAATACGAAGTAATGCGAAAGAAAAACTCTTGGAAGTACATATTATCATTGAAACTAAAAAAGCGATGCTCAAGTAAGTATGAATTATAAATTATTGTATTTTTGTACGTGTTTTTATGGTATAAAAAGTAGCAGTGCACTAGATAGAAAAAATAAAACATATTATTTGTTACCTGTTGACTAAATCGGTCACAAAAGAACGACTATAATCATTCAAGGTTTCGTACCAAATTTGGGGACACATTTTTTTTCCTTCGACATTTGTCATACGTGTCATGACATAATCCTGTATGGTGTTCTTTGTTGCATATTAAGTTGGTTTGCTTCTGGCGTACTGCATACGTTAGCTTGCAGTGGTGTATAGTAACCATAGTGTATAATATGCAAACGTGGATTAGTAGTTATATAGGTACTATAGGTATAATATAGGTACTAAGTACTTATATAGGTATTATATATTTATAATGTATTTACCGTCGGATTTCGGACAAACGTGTTCATACAAATGACAAGTTATCGTAATTTATCATGAATTCTCCCGAACGCTTTATTTAAAATCTTACATTAAAACGTATACATATTTTTCTATTTTTTTCTAAAATTGACTATTTAAACAATATTAAAAGCTGTAGATATTATAGATAAAAAAAATTACATGTAATTATGATACAATAGTTAAAATGTCGGTTTTATATCTTGCACGTGGAATAGCAGGTTTACACAACATAATATTATATACCTAACTTGAAAATTGAAATGTATTCAGTATCAGTAGGCGCAGTTTCTCAAATAAATTATCCTACATAGCTATATTTTATGTATATAGTTTACACTTTACACTATCACGGTCCATCAGTAGGCAGGTTAGCAGGCATATAGCTGTGATTTTTACAGATTCCTAAATTGTCGAAAAAACCCCTTTAACTATTTCACGCTGCCCGAATACTGTTTTATAATAATTATAGGTTCATATTAAACGTGCGTATACGGCAGCTATATAATAATATTATGGTTTTGCGTTATCTTCACGATGGATTTAAATTACATTGAATACACGCCTAACGCGTTGATGATCCAGTAGATAACATCTTCGGCCTTGGTGTAACTGCATAATATAATGCATTAATATATTATATTAGAATATAATATGTTTATATATAAAGTGCAGAGAGAGAAAGAGAGAATTAGAGGAGGGATAATAAAAATAACGTAATTTTCCTTGTCCTGGTACAATTTGTTTTATACGACAAAATAATAATTATATTATTATATGATAATAATGATAATAATAAGACTATTAAATTTGTCCACCTCTCGCGGCCTACCCAACGGAAACCGTTGATTGCAGACGGATGGGCGTTTATGAATGTCATGCGTGCGCGTATTATGTATAGCCATTTTATGAGTGCACGTATGACGGGCCTGTTGCACGTTTAAGACAAAGATGCACACATAAGTAATATGAAAATATATTCTACTGCAATGACACGGGATTCGTCCCTGAAAACTGCAGCAGCACGGTTATCCCACATTTTGTACGCTATCGATAATTCACGTGGGTTAAGGTTTTAGTTCTGATCGACGACCGCAACAGCTGATATACGTATAATATATGTGTTGGGTGTACTGTAAAAATATGTACATAGTATTATACATTGTACTAATACTACTAACTACCTATATATTATACGCGGAACTATATCAACATTGCGTCTGTTGTGATATTCTTACGAAACTATCGATAATATGCGCGGTATATTTGAAGTAAGATATCATATATATATATATACATTATACATACGTTTATTATAATATGATATTGTCGTCACACGTACAAAAAATATATACATAAGTATGTTGCGTACTATGAGTACCTAGTACCTACGTACATATTATAGGTCGTAGCCTACTCGTATAGTTAGAAAAAACTATTTTGTCAAACCATAAAAGTTCAGGATATTATATTATGTTATTGTATTCTCGTATAGTCGTATTCGACCCAATAATAACTTTATACATTATTTAAGGTAAATTATTATAGTACATTTAAAGAAAAAAAAACCTTCTGCGATACCCGTAAATAACGTGTAAGTAATAGAGATATAAGATGGATTAGTTTTTTAACTATTCGCTGAATTATAGCCATTTACTTTTAAATGATTTCCTATTTTATAATAATTCTTGTTTTTTCAATTATTCTATGTTTGGTTAGGTCAACATTAGTAGACAAACCTAACCTAACCCAATCTGATACATTTGTAATTTCACCTGTTTGTGATCCACGTAACATGATTAATACTGTGCAATCAATTATGTACATTAGCAATTACGATTTATAACAGTCATGTATTATATTATTATAGAAAATCAAGTTTGTATTAAATTGTTTTATTCAAGAATACAATCGTCCTTTCTTTTTTAATGCCTTGAATTATGGTGGTGATTCTTCATTCTTCAATATACTTTTTCTAGTAAATAATGAGTTATTGTTATATAGACATTAGACACTTTATAAGAATACTTTTTTCAAATAAAATTATTTTATTCACTTAATAGTACAACAGTCCGTAAGTGCAATATGATACAATATTTTTCCTCATAAAAACAAATTTCTTTTTTTTGTAATACATAGCAGTATACAATATCCATTACGAATAAAATAATTCTAAGATATGAAAGTTCTTATGATTAAATTGTATTTAATACTGCATTAAAATCGAAATTCGTTATTAACTGTATTGTATATTTTCATTAATACATTTTATAGATATGTGTCTACTAACAGTTATGTTTAAATATTTTTTGCTGAAAAATATTCGTGAAAGATTGAATAACATCAGTAATTTGATTATTCGTACATTAACACAGTAACACTAAACTAATCTCTCTTGATATTTTCTTTAGTAGATATTTTTATAACGTATAATGTATGCATTAGTTACACAGTACAATAGATATCTGTTTAATTGGAAATCAAGAATCGATGAAGCCATTGAGTAGTGGTACACCGTATGTATATCATGATTCATGTATATCAGACATGAGTTCTTTATTTAATAATACATATTGGCACTTAAAAGTTATAATTTATGAGTCTAGTTAAGACTTTTATTGATAAAAATTATCGATAAAAGTAGTAGTAATGTATGAGTATAAGTTGCTATACATTTTATTTGATGCATATATTCATGTACCGTAAAGGAAATTGTATGGTAAAAAAAAAAAAAAAATAATGGTAGGCCGCACGCCTGGTCGAAAATATTTTTTTTCTAGTCCAAGTTCGGTAGCTTTAGGCCGTTCAAGGTCGGCGTAGGTACCTACTCAAAATCTAAATAATGAAAACATTACTACACTCCATTACTCGACTGCAAAACACACGGCTTGTGATAGGTATAATATGTGCACGCAAATTGACGCTAGTGGGCGTGACAGGTGTAGGTAGACGATCGGGCATGTTACAATAATTATATTGCAATAAAATACAATATTATACGAATGTGCGCATATAGTTTTCCACGAGGGAGACGATCAACTTCAGCTGTATGTATAGTTCTATAATATGACTGTAAAATACAGGCCTAACGCCTGTGGTATAGGCACACTGTAGAACAAACGCCTCCGCACTTTAATGTATTATACATGATGACGACCGTGACAAGGGCATATATAAAATATTATATAAAAATTAAAATATAAACTATATACATATATTCATGTGTGTATGTATGTGTGCGTAAAATGTATATTTCATATGTCTATTCGATTTATTTAATAATTATGACTATGATGATAGTATTATGTTGTGTTGCTACTGTTTACAATCTTTCCAACGTTATTATTATCATGCACAATATGAGTTTATATTTCCTCAGAGAACGCAATATAAGTAAACGCAATTCGATTAATTTTCACTGCTGTTGAAGCTTATACTAACCTTCCTACATTACATATTTCAAAACAATACTAAGTGATTTCCAAGGCCCGTAATCAACGTGTCACAATATGTTATAGAAAAAATAATATTTTAATTTAATTATACTTATTAAAAATTATTACATGAATTTTGATTTTTTTCATTAAAATATATATTATATAAATGTATTTATTCTTGATATATTATATTATAGATTTTGGAGCAAAAATCCTCATTAGTTCAAAATATAAATTGATTAACAAAATGACTTAAAAGTGAAACAAAAAAAAATAAAAATAAAAATATATATACATTTAAGTTACACAATTATTTTTCTTAGTAACAAACGTACAATCAACAAACACTATTCAAACTTGCATGTTTATATCATTAAATAGTGTTGTTAAAATGTGTAGGGGTGTAACAAACTATCAAACACTATAACTATTTAAGCTTTCTATCTATTTATCTGCATCAAATATCAGCATTTCCTCGGTACACAAGTACATAACAAATACAAATAGCCATTATTATAATTAAAAATCTAAACTTGAAATCATATATATAATCTGAGAAATGAACTCTTTTCACTAAATAATGAAACTAGGCAATATCTTTTTTGGTATTTTGTTATTAATTAGTAAAATATTATTGAAAACGCATTTTAGATTTGTACGAGTTTTTATTCAGATAATAAAAATATTTTGAACGATTAAGAATAGAAAAATGTTATTCATAATAACTTATATTTTATATAGTTATATTATTATATATTATTATTTTATATTATTTTTGTTAACTTATATTTTTTAAATGAGAAATAACTTTTTATCCTGTAAATTGTTAAGCAAATGACTATTTTGTAAATTTTGATATATCTTAAGTGTTTACAATAGATGCCCTGCCCTATCCAGTTCTATCATTAAATTGTATGAGCTATAAACTATAAAATATATAACATAAAATTTAGCTCATAATATATTACGTTATACTACAGGTTTAGTAGGTCTTATATGTGGTTAAACTGACATAAAATCAAGTTCTTCCCTCCCCAAGTTACGCTCATACTCGAAATGCTTAGATAAGCAAATATTTTAACTACTGAAGATTTTATAACAAATGTAACTACAACCACCATAATACCATATAAATCTACTAAA